TCCATTTTTGATATATTACGTGTTTAAACGATTTCTCAACAGTACACCTGGACGAATTACGATATGATTTATATTTAATTTCTTTTTTGTTATTTCTCTTTTTATTTTACCTTTTTATCACATTTACACGCACCACAAGAGAGGGATAAATTATTTATTGTAACTGGATAAAATCATTAACTGAAGGAAGTAAAAGCATAAAAAAAGAAAAAAGAAAAACGAAAGATACTAAATAAGAGTATTATTTCGAGTATCGATATCACATTTTAACATTAAAATACAATAGTACGAAGAAGAAGCAATCGATATGACACGGTCAATGCTCATTCTTGGTCTACTCGTTGAAATGGGATAAATTGGGTACCTGATTTTTCATCCATTCGTTAAATCAAAAATCGAATCGTTTGCTTGGATAATGCAACTCCGACCACAATCATTCTCAATTTCTTGAAAATGCATGCACTTCAAATAAAACTAAAGGAAGACCTTCTCGGTATACGTGTATGTACGTGTGAAGGGTGTGTATGTGTTTGTCTCGTTGATTTCAATCAGAGAAACGAATCTTTTGCATGGAATGGCTGATTAATCGATAAAAATCTTCTTATAGAGAAAAGTGTAATAGTAATTCTTTTTTTTTTTTTTGTGTAAATCGAGGATAAGGTTATCGCGATAAACTTGGTAATTTTGTTCTTTTTCTTATTTCTTTCTTTTTCTTTTACTGCTAACTTTTAATAATATTTTCTTTCTTCTTTTTCTTTTCGTTCCACTTGCATTTTTGTTCTTTTTCTCTTTCTATTACACACAATCAATTCGATCTTCCTGTTATGTCTCAACTGAATGTCTGTGCGCTAAGACCGCATAACTCTGACCAAAAAAGTAAGGGGCAAAGGTAAAGGAAAAGGAAAAGGAAAAGGAATCGTAATTAGGTGGCTGTCGGTTACCGGGCGAGAAAAGAAGAAAGAAGCTGTAGTTGTGTATAAAGGTTGTTGCTTCAAGAGAAGACTGCACACACCTTTTGAGAGGAAGAAACCTCTGACTTCCTTCTCTTCCCCCACCTCCTTACCCTCTCACTCTTTCTATCTCTCTCTCTCTCTCTCTCTCTCTTTTGCACGGTGCTCCAATTAGTCGATAAGATCTTTTATACGTTGGAAAGGTAACAAAAAAAAAAAGAAAAAGAGAGGAAAAAATAAATAACGAAACCTTACTCCCCCTTATCTTTCTTTTTCTTGGATGGTTAGTTAAAAAAAAAAAAAAAAAAGGATAAAAAAAGGGAGGAAAAAAATAAAGAAGTAGAAAAACAAAGAGAAATTTCATTGGAATTCATCGGTCGGTTTGCTTCCGTTCGACTACGACGATTCATCCCACCTGCTTGAGAGAACTACCGTCATCACCACCACTTCTCTCACCAATTTTTTTGTTCCTTCGACGATAAAAAAGAAAAAAAGAAAGACAGAAAGAAAAATAAATAAAAAAATAGATAATATATAATTATTAAAATAGAAACAGAGAAAGAGAGAGAGGAGTAAGAAATAAACAAAAAATAAAAATGGCAAAATAAATTGGGGGGTGTAAAACATAAAAGTCTAGTTGAAATGTTGTACAATATTTCTAAAAAGAAAAAGAAAAAAAGAAAGAAACAAAGACTAAACGGAAAGTAGTAAAAGAAGGACCGATAAAAATCTTGTTTCCGTTCGAACTCGAAGAATATTTGTTAGATAGTTAAGAAGTAGATAAAGGACAGGACGTGAGATTCGTAGTCGGACTAACGAAACGATGCCCGCATATAATCTAACGCTTTTCTCGTTCGCTCGATGGATTTACCGACGCTGAAAATACGCGAAGGGTGGTGTTGCTGCTACTGCTGCTGCTGCTGCTGCTGATGGAGAAGGTGGGGTGATAGTTGAGAGATTAAAGGGAGTGGGAAAGCGATATATAAACAGGAAAAAGGAGGAGGAAGAGAAATTTTCGGCTTGGCGTTCGAGGGGGGGGTGGATCCTGAAACCCGCAGCTTCTCGCCACGTAAAAGGTCCATAGAGAAAGACAGAGAGAAAATCTGTGTATATATGTGTGTGTGAGTGAAAAAAAAAAAAGAAAAAAAGTAAACTCTCCTTTTTATCTCACGACTGGTCGAAGCCACGTCGGCTTTCACGAGAAACGCTGTACGGTGTTATTCCCCCTTTTTTTTTCCACCTTCAACCTTTACCATCTCTCTCTCTTTCTCTGTCCAGCCGCTAATATTTTAACGCTAAACTATGGCCCGCATTTTCGTAACCACGAGACGCAAGAATTAAGCTTGATTTACTCTAATAACGAGAATGCATGTAAATAGTCGAACCCCTCCAGGTTTTTCTTCTTGTTCCTTTACTTTTTTCTTTCCTACTTTCTTTTCGTTGCCCTTATTTTTCTTCTTCTTATTCTTCGTATTCGTTTCCTTAGACCATTACCGTGGGTACACGGTACATTACTCCCAGGAGAGTATTTTTCGCAAGGACGGTAGAATTTTAAAATTTCGAAGAGAAAGATATGTATTACGGTAGATACTTTATTCTCTTGTCTCTTGGTGTTGGCTGCTAGCTAACGACGCTCTCTTTCAAAAGGAAAACAATTCCAAAGTAGACGTGTATAACAACGGTGGTGTATAACTTACCCTCTAGTGTAAGTAATGTATGTATGTATGTATATATATATATTATATGTTTGTATGAAAGAGTGTAAATAGTCTCCTAAATTTCATGAGTAAAATACGAGACACGTTATAATATGTAAGAGAGAGAGAGAGAGAGAGAGAGAGAGAGAGAGAGAAATAAGAGTTAAAGCTTAACGCGATAACAGGCGCGTTTGTCGTAATACTGTCTGGCAAGTCTTGTGTAGTAATGTATTTCGAATGATGGAAGCTTCCTTGAAAACCTACACACACACATACACACACGCATGCACACCTTTTATGTACATTCAAAACGCATTAACGATTCTTCTCGCGAACTAAACTTGCCATCTAAACTTTTAAACGATTATACTACGAGAAACTAAACTCATCCTCGTAGTCTTTAAGAATACATATATATATATATATATTTTTTTTCTGTTATTTTTGTTGTTTTTCTTCTTAAATATATTACATGAAAATACATGAGAGAATAAAGTACGTAGAAAAGAGGGTATTGTATGTGTATCTGTAGGTGTATGTGTGTGTAAAAAACTAAAAGAAAAAAAAAGAATACAACTTAAAAAAGAAAGGTTAAATTCAAGAGTTGGAAGAAGCAGATGTCGAGAGAGCTTGCAACAAACGTCTTCTTAAAGATAAGTATTTGTTTAAGAAGAAGAAGAAGAAAAAGAAGAAAAAAAAGAAAAAGAAAGACACAGAACTAGCAGAAAGAGACGTGTCATTTTTCAACGTCGTCCTTCTCATCGTCGTCGTCGTTGTCGTCGTTGAACGCAAACGTAAAAGTAGGATAGCTTATTTCTAGTACGCGAAAAGGAAAAGTTGGCGTAACAACAAGGAGAAAACCAAACGGGAAAACTGATGATATGTGTGTGTGTGTGAGTCCTTCTCACATGAAAAGGGCACGTAATCCTCAACGGAATTACTCGCGTTTTTGGTATTACCAAGCGTTGGTTGCTGGTTCTCCAATTTTCGTCACCGTGCGGAACGTTCGCTATTTTTTTTTACGCGAAAAAAAAACTATATTCACTGAATATCTATTTTTTTTCTTTTTTTTTATACCGTCGAAATATAAAGCTTGGACGTCGATTTGAACATTACGAAACCCATACGCGGTATGTGTATGTATATGTATGTGTGTATGTGTATATATCTGTCCTGTTTCGTATGTTCTGCGTAGAAATATTAAATTCACTTATATCTGTATATTTACGCATACACATGATAAAGTAATACGTGTGCAAGAAAGACAAGTAGACAGAAATGGAAGAAAAGGTTGGGGAATATTTCACACGCGTTCTCTCTCTTATGAAATCGTGATGGACCACGGAGATGGAATTTCAAATTCCCACTCTCGTTTTTTGACGACTCGATTAAACCGTCGTCCACCAACCAAGACGTAATTCTCCTCTTCCAACCACTTTTCATCTCTTTTCGTTACGTCCCACTGTATGATTCATTAAAACGTAGCTGCTTTAACGATGAGGAAAATATTCTCCAGATTTTCATCTCTACATCTCTCTTTTAAGATACGTTCATGCGTGAATACACCTGCTTTAATATATTATAATATTGTTGTTACTTAAAAAAAAAAAAGAAATTAAGTAACTATTTTGTTGTTTTATTATAAAAAAAAAAAAAATAAATAAATACGTATTATAAAATTTATCTAAATATTATATTATTAGGGTAATAAAATGTAATCGCGATGATTGGATTCCCACATAAATGAGAGTACGAAGAATCACCATTGTTTCAACATCGTCTATTTTAGATGGTAGTAAGCAGTAAAACAAAACAGCCGTTTGGTTATTTCGGTTCGTAGCGATAGTAGGCAGGCAGGTAGGTATAATATCCTATTAGCTATTCCACCGTTGTCGCACTTAAATACGATAGTAACGAATTCCTCGAGAAAACGAGCACTTTGCTTACCTAGCCGTTTATTAAGCTAATTACGGATTCATGACAGTGCTTAAGATTATAGAATAGTTAAGGAATAAATTTATAGAGAAAACGGCTGTGCTGTGCTGTACTCTCCACGTAAAATTAACGATCTCGGTATTCTCGCGGCCACGAGGAAGATTAAATCGATTATAAAAAGAAAGGCCGGTGTTAATAAAATGTATATCCAACTATAAATCCAATACTTTTTCTCGCAATTAAAACCGTGAGAAAAGAATTCGATGTCAAACGTAAAAAAGCTAGGATTCACTCACTTTTCATACAAACTCTTAAGAATCATTTTTTAATCGTCATTACGATTTTTATTTCTAAATACTATACTAATAACAATAATAATAATAATGATATAAAAAAAATATATTAACGCATTACTTACCGGTAGAAAATAAATTGGCCGACCAGTCGAAAACTGAAATAAACAAAAAGTCTATTATTTTTAAAACACCAATTTATATACCTTAAAATAATTGACAATTAATTGATTATAAATTTTTGATGCTTATCGATAAAATAAAATAAGAAAGAAAAATAAATTCCGTAGTGAGACCAATTTAAGACAATTAATAAATAAGATTATGGGGTTAATGCTATTCGTTTAATGTAATTGACAAAAATACAAAGAGACATTTTTTTTCACATACGACACGCACGAGCAGCATTTATAATCTGAATAAAGACGTATATATAATAATATAAAGGCACACGTAATAATTTGACTCGAATTTATCCACGTGGGGTGTGGACGAGAAGGAACGACGGAGTTTAGGGTACGAGTGGGAATTCTCTTTTACAGCTTTCTCTACGTCATGCTATTTCTCTTATAAGGCCTTAGGAGAATAATCGAGTCGACTAGTCGACACACACCGAAAGGCAAGGCAACATCTGCCATAAGCTTCGTAAGGTAACAAAAGCAGCCGTTTCGTAGGCGCGTGCCTCGTTCGGAGTTGGGCCGCGAAAACCTTTGCCCACAGCTGTTTTACGGGCGTCTGTTACTATATCATCACACATATATATACATTTACACGAACATATCCACACATGTGTCTATATATATATATATATATATATATACTAACACAGAAATAGGTCGTGTAGGCGAGAGAGCACAGCTGTATGAGCAAAAGCAAAAGAGAGAGAGAGAGAGAAAGATGATAAGTTTAATCGAACGAATCGATAAATCGATCGATTGGAACGCTCGTAAGTAGAAACACCGTTCCTTACAACGTCGTCATTGTCCTTTGAGGGAGCAAGAAAGATAGATGGACCTAAGTAAAGGAAAGAGAGAGAGAGAGAAGAACATGGTAGGACAGACTCGCACATTATCGCTTCTCGTCTGTCAGACATCCTCGGACAAACGACTTCCTCTTACAGTCTTATGGCTTAAAACGTGTAACTTCCTTAGACCTTGTGGCAGTTGGTCAGGAGGACAATGAAAAAGAGGACTACACACCTTATACTTTGGCCCCGTTGAATAATAAATGATTCGCATTATTTAACTCGACAGTTTTTCTCCTTAATTAGTCCGCTTGAAATCATTCGAAAAGTTTCTCTAAATACACTTGTTAAAACGATTACGTGTAACTATGGTGTGTCTGTGTGTGTGTGTATGAATGTGATTAGGATCGTTAAAAAAATATGTAATTTATGATCGGATATCACGTTAATAGCCTTTCTTTCTTTCTTCTTCGTCTTCTTCTTCTTCTTTTTAATCTTTTTTATCTTTTTTTATTTCGCTTACAAGAAAACTTCCACGAGGGTGATTTTGCGGCGAGAAAGAGAGAGAGAGAGAGAGAGAGAAAATCACGGGGGGTGCGAAAGTTTAGTTGCAAGCGTGCAACAGCAGCAGCAACCCTGCTGTGCCGTTATATCCTTTGCTCGAGATCGTTGGCAAGTAGTACTTTTTTCATTATGCTCTGAAAATAGGGTCAAACCAAAGATACCTCAGTATAATGGAACGATATATATATATATATATATATATATATATATATATAT